ATGATCTGATTAGTCGACTAATCGCTAAAATAATCGGTGACTAGTCGACTATCAAAATAATCGTTTGTGGCAGCCGTACTTTAAATGACAAAAAGGGGGGAAAAGGTGAACAGCTGTTTAGAAGCCATTATAAACCCCATCTAGCAGTTAATGAGTTTGTATAAGTGGTACGATCCTCTCGATGGTAGGGAGGAACAACAAGACATCACATTGGACCATGCCAGAAATCAAAGAGATCATGTGGTATGTTCATGACATTTCTAACCTTCAGTAGGATGTTCACATGGAAAAAAAGTAGAGCTAGGTTGCTTTCTCTAGTCTTCCTTTTAGGCATGATAAAGCGTTTCTGTGTTCTGTGCTATAAGATACATAAATTGATGTTGCATGGGGTGGTAAGGCTCACTTGTCGTCCTCTTCCTGGCAGCTGGTGTTTCAGTATTTGGAGCCTTCCTGCGCTCGGAGTTCAGCGAGGAGAACCTGCAGTTCTATCTGGCCTGTGAGCGCTACAAACATTCGTCCACCAACTTCAGCCTGCAGAGGAGAGCCAAAGACATCTGCGCAACCTACATCCAGCCAGGAGCCCCCCGGGAGGTACACATGTCCATACTCAGTCTTACTGGTTGCACTGGGCAGCCTGTGTTCTGGGAACAGGAATTGTAATTCAAGTCCTGTTTATTTTTTCCTCTTTCTGCATTGCCAACTGTTTTACTGCTCAGAGTCTCTCTGTGTTATCAACAAGCTTGTGTGGGTGGTTCAGATGTGACGTTACAGCGTTCCATCAATAGCTGCATTCATGTGGAGCTGTTGTGTTTTTTCTTTCTTCCACTAATAGAGACATTTTCCCCACAGCATGAGATTATATGTGTGACAGTAGCTAAAGTAAAGGACCAAATACTGTGGAGGAAAAAAAAATATTCATTTGCTTCTCCGCCTTGTTTCCCAGGAGTCCAGCTCCACTGTCTTATCTGCAGCTATAGCAAGGTGCACAGTAGGTAAACTCCAAAAGTAAAATGTCAGTATGAGTGTGAACAGTATGACTTTTGATGTGATTCAGGGGATGCCATGAATTTAGCATTAGCACTGGAACTTTAACAAAGCGATCTTTTCTGTCTAGTTGAAGGTATTTATGCCAGGAAGAAGAGAACTGCACTTGTTCAAGTTTATTAATGGAAAGACGAAATCCAGGAATCAAACTGTGCTTTATGTTGGCGAGCTCAAAGAATACTCACTGAAAAAGTAGGAAGACCTAAATGACATGACTTAACACCGAACCACTACAAGATAAATTTATCTGCAAAGCCCAAAAAGTTGTAGGCCACCATATCCTCGAAGATTTGGACATTTCTACACTGAAGAACAAAGAAACAGTGTTAACAAAGTAAAAGGAGCATAAGCTACAAAGCAGCTTCCTTTTGTGTTCATAATATGAATGAAATCTTGTAAGCTAACATGTGCTAGCAGCAGATTTGGAAAATCCAAATGCATCAAGTCTGTACTGAAGCTCAATTCTGAGGTGGAAAAATGAATAAAACATACACGATCACAGTGCCATGTCAACATAATTCAGAAAGTGCTCCTCTGTTCTGGGAGTATTCACACACACAGAAGTCATGCACTGTTGCACGGATCTTGGCAGATGTAAAGCTGCAGAAGGAATTCTGAGGATGTGAGGTTATCTGTGAAGCTTGCATAAGTTCTATACATTTCTTTGTCACAGACGCATGCTAATAATTATCTCTGTTTAAGGGATGTTTGCTCAATGAAGGAACTTTGTTCATTATCAGCTTTGCATGCTCCTCATTCTTTCCACCATCTTCATGAACTCTTCACCTGGAGACTTTGAGCAGTGTTGTTAAGCATTTGTTGGCTGGTTTTCCTTCAGTAACCTCAAGTTATTTCAAACCATCTCTACTGGAACAATGTTCATGATACAGCACTCATTATTGTGCTACCTGGTAACTGAGGCTGAGGAGAAAACAAATGGTCTTAAGTCAAACTCGATTTTGACGCCAATTTTTATCTATTTATTTTTTGGCTTGTCTTTCCATAAAGTATTTGTATTGACTTTATGTGGCTTTTGCACCATCACTGTGTCCTATTGCAGGTAAATCTGGACAGTACGACCAGAGACCTGACGATCCAGCTGCTGCAGGCTCCCTCTCGCAGTTCTCTGTCCCACGCACAGAAACGCATCTACTCACTTCTGGACACAGACTGTTACCCACGCTTCCTCCAGTCTGACGTCTACCTCTCCTTACTCCACGAGGCTGAATAGATTCCCCACACTTGGACTCAGGAGAAGGAATGGTGGCTTGGTGGTTTCTGGAACGGCTCAACTTCCTTCAAACTGTAAATTATAAAAGCTAACTATGCTGTCAAAAGATCGAGCTGCTGTGTACAAAGTGTGGTTGGACACTGTAAATAGAAATATTGGTTACTGCAATTAAAATTTGGGGAATTGTGTTTTCACTGAGATGTTTGTGATGTTACAATGCTGGGATTTGGTTTGGCTTACTTTAGGATTAAGACTGGAAACAGTTGGAAACGGCCGGCGAGCTTCTGTCCGTCATACAAAATAATGAAGTGCTAAAGTTGAACCGCTACAGTGAGGTTGTCTTTTTACACCGATGGCATCGCCAACAAGTGAGACATTTTAACTTGTTTAAAAAAATCACAAAATTTAAGAGGAGACCTCTCTAAAATCTGAAAACACCATTTTACTTTAGTTTCATATTATTCCAAATGGAAAGAATCTTGACAGATTTATCAAGACAGTTAAAGATCGTACACCAAACAATCCAGGCTCTTTTTTTCTTTTGTTTTTTTGCACCCCACGTGAGCTGTCATATCTACAGGGGCATTATGTTTGTACGATCATAATTTTTTTTTTTACTAAAAGCAGTTTTTTCTTATGTTACTCCTGTATTGACACTCTACATATGATCCTCTCTGGGATTTACAAAAAAATATTTAAAGAGAAAATTTCCAGTTCTCTGGGTGAAATACAGTGGTTTGCAAAAGTATTCGGCCCCCTTGAACTTTCCCACATTTTGTCACATTACAGCCACAAACATGAATCAATTTTATTGGAATTCCACGTGAAAGACCAACACAAAGTG